GAAGAAATACAAATAGAAAGGTATAATACAAGTAAAAGGAAAGCAGGACCTCATGGACTAACTAATCAAGAGAGGGAAAGGAGAAGAGCTAGGAAACATGAATAAGTCAAGCCATACAGTTACATGTAGAAGATGGCCAAGGCAATGATGCTGAGAATCTTCAGAAGATTTTTGAATCTAGCAGTTAATTGGAAAGATTCTCACCCTGACTATTTATACTGATACCTGTGAACTAAGCTACTGTACTGCAGATGGTAATTTGTAATAGTAGTTTGATGTTTGGAGTGTCCATCATTCTGGTATTTTAAATATGGGCTGCTTGTCATGACATGCCAGTTACTGCTATGATGTCTCTTGGGTAGGTGGATGTTCAAGAATAAGGGGTAGTGAATGAAAGCAAGAGATAGGAAAAGGAATATAGTGGGACTGTCCTGCTTCAAGGTTGTATATGGTGAGATTTTTGGACTTATGTGCAAACATGAAAAGTATAGAATTCTTTATCATATTTTTAAGATATAATCTACTGGTACCATCCACTGAGGATAAAAGAGCCCCAGTAATAAAATATGAAGCAGTTTGTAAGATATGATCAGAGGTGATAGAAAGGCTTTCTCTTTGCCCCAGAAACATGATTACAACTTCCTGGACAGCACAAGCAATGACATTGGCAAATAATGAACTCAATGAAAATCTACATTTAAAAGTAACCCGGAGGGTGGGGGAGATAGCTCAGTAGAGTAATGCTTGCCTGACAAGTGCAGGGTCTTGAGTTCAATCCCTGGCATGTGGAAAAAAAAAAAGTAACCCAGAAAAGTTAGACTCTAGAAAAAAAGAAATAATTGAGCCATTTTATTTCAACTGTAATTTCATTGAAAGTATGTGTAAGAATGCTATGTTAGTGATATACATCAAATACAAATAAACTACTTCTTCAATCTAAAGTAAGCTATAGGTTTTGTGAAAAAATATTGGGGGCCGGGGAGATGGCTCAGTGGAATAAGTGCTTCCTTGGCAAGCACAAGGACCTGAGTTCAATCCCCGGATGGATATATATATGACTGCAGCAAATTTGTAATGAAGAAAGCTATAGATTCACCTTCTTCCGATGAACAGACTGAAACAGCAGCAATATACAGATTTTTTTCTATTTTTGAGAAATCCACAATCAAAAGGTATCACTATCCCTAGAAAGTACAAAACTAGCTACATTAAAATCAGTGTAATGTGGAAATGCCTACACAGAGTCCCAGGACAGAGATGAACTGAGCTTGTGTGTAGACATTTTCTACAGGTTTGCCCTTTGGCAAGCAGGATGAATGGGAGGGAAAGAGATAGAGTCCACATTAAATATTGTTACCTTTCCAGGTGTTACCAGGGACCTAACTTCCATTTCATCTGTCTCAGAGTAGTGACTGAGCCAACACAGGCTCAGGTTTTGGCCTACAAAGACTAAGTGTAGCAGTGTCTGGCACTCACCAAAACCCTTGCCACATGGATTAGTACACAGTGAGCAGGCCAAAAATAAAGACAACTAACTGCTGGCTTCTCCACAGGGAAGGAAAGAGTTGTACCACAAATCTAACTTTTCATCTTTTCTGGATCTTACTCAAGACATTGGCTTTTGTCTTTCCTGTCTTGGGGCTGGTCACATACTAGATCCACAGGGAACACAAAGAACAAAGATAGTGGTATGAACTAGTACAGGACAACTTACCCTACCTTCTCCCCTAGGTCCATGAAGAATGAAGAGGTGAAAAGTGTAAGTTAACAGAAGTCTACCTTGGGTGAGAAAGACTCGAATGGAAGCTGAATGTCCAAAATTGTGTGAGAATGTGCCAAAGGACAGCTTTCTAGTTCACCTATTATCTTAGTTATTTTCTCATTGCTAGCATAAAATACCCAACACTCATAGGTTAAAGGAGGAAAGGCTTGTTTTAGCTTACAGTTTGTAGAAGTTTCAGTCTGTAGTCAGCTGGCTCCAAGACAGGGTGGAAGGGCAGAGGAAGAGTAGTGCATGGCAAGGCATGCAGGAGGTGGCAGCAGCCTCCCTCTCTCTTTAATGCTGTTCATGATACAAGTCTATTGGTTGGTACCATTCATGCCCAGGTAAGACTTCTGCCTTAAATAAATCAATTCAGCTACACCCAAACCTATGCGAAACCAATAGAGGACCAGATGCTCTTTATCCCAGTGTCACACACCCATGATCCAGTCATATCCTAAAAGTCCCACTCATGAGTGCAGGTAGTTTTGGGGACTATAAGCCATTAGACCTACCCAGGTGTAGGAAAGAGACCCTGCAACACTACAGATGGCTCTGAGTATCTAAAAACCAACCCAGCATTTTGGAAAAGGGTGAAGTTTTCATACATACAGAATCTCTGACTGTATTGACAGGTGAAGGGGTTCTATAAGAGGCCAGTCTATAAAGATTTGTAGATTTGTAGAGTTGATGGTTTATTTTATCCTACAGATACCAACACAAGAACCAAGAAAAGTGCCAAAGCAGGGAAGTAAAATCCAAACAAAAGAACAAGATAGTATTCCAGAAATCTACCCAGTGAAATGAAGATAGAGATAAATAGATTACCTGACAGATAAGTAAAAGTAACTATTATGAAAGTTCTCCACAATATTAAAAGAAAGAAAAAAAATAAAAGAAAGATACACAAACAATTACAACAAAAATATTCGGGTTTTTTTTTTCATTTTAGGGAAAGGTCTAAAGGGTGTTCAGGGTCTCACTACTAGATCAGACTCATAGTGATCCACCTGTTTACAGCCTCCCAAGAGCTGAGATTACCACACACAGTCTCAAAAAACTTTCATTCTTTTCAAAATCAAATAAATGGCTATGGAGGTATCTCAGTAGCATGAATGCCTACCTAGAAAGTCAAGGTTCTGAGTTCAAATTCCAGTTCAAAACAAACACACAAAGAAAAGTAAAACCTGAGTTCAATCCCCCATTCAAAAAAAAAAAAAATCTTAGAGTGAAAGAACCCACTGTAGAAAAACTGAATTGAAAACATCCATAAACATAGAGAGAAAACATTCTCTCAGGCTTTCACAGAGAGCACACTGGCCAAGCAATGGCTGTGACTCATCCACATGGCTGACACTGACAAAAGATCTACAATCTGAGGTACAGGATCTCAGGATAAATCCTGAGGGGATTTCACTGACCTTATCAGATCCAAAAGCTACAACTCTTGTTGCGTAGGTCTTTCTTTATCTTGGTCTTAACCATCCAGCAGAAAAGTATAAAAACAAAGCATAAGAAGTAAAGCCATGCTGTTATGTTGAGCTGTAGGGGACGCAGGTCAACAATTTCTGACATTGCCAGTGAAGTGGAAGACTCAATACTATTATGGACTACTGGACCCTTTTAGAATATTTTGCTGAGTTAACATACCTATAATATTCAAATGACGGAACTAAACAAAAAAGGGGATACAGATGAATGTCCATTTTGTATCTGTGTATTCAAAATGGTTAGGATAGATATATAGTTACATTCTCTTAATGAATAGAGGG